TCCGATTTACCAAGTCAGGAATGAGGCCCCGAAATCTGCATTTTAGCAACTCCCACTCCCATCCCCCATCCCTGCTACCTCCCAAAGGATGCTCCTGCAGGTGGTCCAGATTCCACACTTTGAGAAATCCTAGTGCAGGGAATACAGGCTCCCATTCTAGCTGATTCCGCAGAGAGTGGTGCCCAGTTGAAGAAAAGCTGAGCCTCAACTAGAAGAGCATTTTGCAAAACTGTTCATCATCCCAGTAATGGCTGCCAGTTTTGAGAGCCTGCTCTAGGCGCTGTGCTAGACACCTGTTTAATGCTCATAACAGCTCTGAGACATTCTGTATCTTACAGGGCTGAGGTTGGAACTCAGGTCCATGCCCTTTCCACCACACCAAGTGAACATTGCTCAGTGGACTCCCCACATCCTTGGCCATTGTGACTTTTGAAGGATATGGCTGTTTGTGTAGAAGTGATATTGAATGGAAGGGTGGGAGTACCCTCTTCTCAGAGCACTACCGACGCCCTTTGCACAGTATGATATTGGGGCCTAGCGCTTGGGGCAGTTTGCCATTAAAAATTAGCTTCTATTCTTGTTTTTTTTGTCTGGTGACCTGACCCAACAAATTGCTTTCTGTTCCCTGAACGAAGGGGGAAAACACAGGGCTAAACATAGCTTCGATTGTTTTTACTTTTCTTACATTATACTTCTCAAAGCGATAAAGATAGAAACAATTAAAATACTATCTGCCTGCCGACAGAACAAGTGGCCACCTGGCTGTCATTGATACACAATAGCAGTGCTTTGCATTTTCAGAGTATTTCAGATGTTACCCCACCAACCAGTCTCCTGGCTGCTTCACACGTGGCCACACATCCCAGGTGGGGCAGAGAGTTCTAGGCACAGACCAGGTTGGACCTGCCTGGCCAAGGAAGGCTTACCTTTGCCAAGGACAGAGGCCAGGCAAGACTAAGTGAACACCCACAACCTCCTCTGCAGCTTTTACATGCATTTTTGCAATCCACTCCTTCCTCCACCCACCGCCAACTGAGGTCTGCCATGTGCCACGCTCCGTGCTAGGCACTGGAGACTCAAACTGGGCGGGGCTGTGCTTGAGTTTGCGGCCCCATAGAAGTAGACATGTAGCAGATAATTCAGGTTCAGGTAACATATGTGCCATACGATGGGAAATCTAGGCAAAGAGCTGTAGGTGCCAAGGGGCCATACAGAGAAAATGTATCCTCCAGGGAGGTTTGAGTTGTCTCTTAAATGAGGAAACTCTCTTGGTGAACAGAAGATAAAGGCAGGAAGAGAACATTATAGGCCTTTGCAAAGGTGTGAAGGTGTGAAAGAGCTAACGTTTGGGGGAAAGCTATGACTTCTCTTCACAGTTGAGAACCGATTCTTTGAATCCTCCCTGCAGCAAAGAAATCTTGTATATTAAGGTCACAGAGGCTTATTCAACACAGTGGAGCAGGTCCTAAAGGCGAGCCAGGACGTATTAAAGTTGACCATCCAACCTGGTCCCACTGGGGATATGATAGTTAAGCTCAAGGCCAAGCAAATTGGACTCCCACCCCTCTGCATGTGGATTTTACCTGTGCTTATTCCTGCAGCCTCCTTATTAATCTTTAGAAAAGACTAATAAGAATGACTCTTTAGGGTTATCTACACAAACCAGGAGGGGCGTACTTTATGGGCAGTTTCGGGGATTTTCATGGATGATTTTGACTCTACCTGATTCCTCTCTGGCTGCCAATGTCATAGGAAGTTTGGTACCTGGAGTGTAGGGTCTGCTGGGGACACAAGGAGTAGGCAGGGGCCCAGGTGCCAGGCTGAAACTCTGTGCTTTCCAGGAGGCAGTGGGCAGCAACTGAAGGCGTCTGGCCACGATAGGCGGGGGCTTCAGAAAGTTCTCTAGAGGCAGTGAGAAGGTGGAGTAGGGAGGCCCTGAGGGGTCCAGTCAAGAAGCAGCAAGATCATGGATGGCTGCAGGAAGGGAAGGGCACTGCCACATGAGAGACACGGCACATTCATGTTTAACTTGCTGTCAGTGCCCCAGTCTTTTCCCCTAGGGATGGGGAAAATTCCAGGCCACTGGAACAAAAATGTAACAGAAAGCGGTGTCCTCTGAGGATGGGATCAACTCCTTTTAATATTCCGGGTTTCCTGAGGCCTGGCTGAGGCACACTCTGCAAATGCTTCAGGCTCCTTCAGCACCAGCCGTTGTGGTGCCATCTTGGGGCTCTCGCTGCTCTGTGGCTGGGCCCGCTGGGTCCTTCCTCAGTCTGTCATATTCCTGGCCCATCTGGTGCCTCAGTGCCTTGTCCCAAAAGGGAATTGGTGGCCGGTGTTACTCTACACAACTTCCTGAAAACCCAAAGGAGCCAACCTAGAGGAGGACGGGGCTGTAGGCGCTCACCCTGACCCTGGCTCACATCCTGAGTTAAGCAAGAGCACGACGGCACTGGTGGGCTTGGTGGTCTCATCCCCTACATATTTGGTAATATGTTTTTCTCATAGAAAATTTGGAAACTGTAGAAAAACAAAAGAGAAAATATAAATAAACCAGCTGTCTGCCAATCAACTAAACATTTTGGTTTTATTCCCTTTACATTTTCATATGCAACATACATGTTTTACTAAATAGGAATCATACTGTCTATACAGTTTTATATCCTGTTTCTTTGTGCTTAGCATTACATTATTAGCATTTCCCCACATCATTAAATATCCTTCGAAACTCTGGTTTTTCGTGCTCCGTGTTATTCATTGATAATTTATTTAACCAGCCTCCAACTGTAAGACATTTTAATTATGTTTACCATTTTGTTGTTACTCGTATCATTTTGATGAACATCATCATACATAAATCTCCACTTTTTTTTTTTTTAGGATAACTTTCCCTCTTTTTCTAAATCAGATGGTCATGACTCAGTCAATGTTAGTTTATATTTCTTTTAATTTTACTTTATTATTTTAGTTCACTGAACTTTCAACTGCTGACTAATGTCAAATTTAAACTGTTTTAAAAGAATGGTGATGAATACTCAAAGAGAATGATTTCTATGGGTAGTGAAGACATTTGAACAACATAAATATAGTGTGCAAAAAGATAACTTTTGGGTGATTTGGGGAAATACTTGATGCAGTCCATTTGAAGGAACAGGTATGGAGACTTTCCTTGGTCAGGGCCTGGGGAGATTGAGGGATGAGGCGAACTGGATGTTGCCAGCAGCCCTGCTTTGTTCCATGTGGCCTACCTCTCTCCCTGTCTCCCATTTCTTAGGCCCTCCGTGAATACAGTCGCTGGGCCGTTTCTCCCCATGTCCCTTACCAGGGTCCCAGCCCCTCAGACTCTGTGTCTCATGCCCTCGCAGGCTGCCCTAGAGGAAGAAGCATCACATTTAGCGGGTTCGACTTTTCCTCTGGCTCAGGGACCTCCTTTGGGCTGCATTGGTCACCCACCTCGAACTAGTCCAGTTTGTCTCTCAGTGCCCTTTCAGAAGTGGCTACTGGTAGAAGAGATGGGTTTGTAGTCCTTGCTTCCTGCAGCACTCCTGTGGGTTGAATCACAATTCTCGGAACCTATAGCCCATCTTGCCTGGCCTATAAACTCCTTGAGGGCAGGGCCAGTATCAGGTCCACCTGTGGTTCCCCTCGGCACTGTAGTGTAGTGACAAGAATATGGGCTTTCAGGTCAGACCAGCTTGGGTTTGCAGCCTGTCATGTGTCAGCTGTGTGGCCCTGGGCTAGTCGCTCAGCCTCTCCTACGCCTTGTTCTCCCCATCGGGGCCATGCTGGTACCTGCATGTAGGGTGCTGTGTGCATTACACTGCCCGGGGTGAATGCTCAGTAAATGATCCAAATTGCTGTGAGAATTGATGTGTGTTTAAATACCTACTGAACATTATTTCAGGTTTCACTTCTATCCTTCTGCTGACTGACTCAAGCCATTCACATTTGCATGATTTATAAATACGTATCAGTTAGAAAAAATAGAAAGTGCTAATTTTTTGATCCCTGACAACATACCATATTTTGTAACTTTGCCTTTGTATTATAAACTTGAATACAAGGACTATGTCAAATTTATCTTTGCATCTCCTAAAATTCTGAGCATAATGCCTGATTCCATGGTAGGAAACAACAAATAGTTCTTGAAAATTTCACTAAAATAAAGGTTCAAGTGCAAATTCAGCATTTCATAGAAGGGTTAGCTTATTTATTCATATGTTCAAGTAGAGACCTAACTATGTAAGTTTAAATTATACCCTTAAGTCTGTGGAGCCCTAGACTTGCTCTTACAGATTTTAATTGCTTGAAGTGTCCTCAGTGAGAAATCAAGTGAACACAGAGGAAGTGCTGTGGTCGGTAGCTGTTGGTGATGTACATGTTGTTGATACTGATATTATTGAGTATCTTGGTGGAGGGGACACAAGAAAATGAAAGATCCAGTTTCTATCATCAGTAAGTGTTTCAAAGATGGAATTCAGATGAACTACCCTGGAAGCACCTCAGCCCCTTTTGGGCCATGATCACCTGAAGTACTGAAAGTGTCATCTTTGGTTGTGTATTGAGCCCAAGTCCTAAAAGCAGCAGAGAACTGAGTAGAGACTTAACAGATACGTTGCCCTGACTCTGCTACCGGCCAGCACAGGTGCAGGGCAAGTTGGTTTTCCATCCATAAGTTGAGAAAGCATTCGGGGTAAAAAATACTGCTTTGAATTTTTCCTGGAAGACGGTACGGTATGATGGAAAGAAAACTGTATCAGGAGTCCCAGGGGCGTATCTGGATTCTAGGCCTTGCTCTGCTTCTAGCTCAAAGCTTTGGGAATCACTTCCCCTCTCTCGGCCTCAGTGTCTCATCTGTAAAATGAGATTGCACTGGATAGTTTTGAAGGGCCTTCTGGCTTTAACATCCTCTGTTTGAAACGGGCTGTTGATGTGGCGATAAAGGGCTGGAGTGAAGGCTTCTCAAATCCTGTTTTCTCTCTGTGTTATTTATGAACCAGAAAATGACAGATGGCGAGACCTGGACAGGAAGTGCCCTCTTCAGATTGACCAACCTAGCGCCAGCATCTGGGAATGCCTGCCTGAAAAGTGTCAGGATGGCTCACTGTGGCACCGGGATGCGGTGACTGCCTGCGCCGTGACTAGCCTGATCAAAGACCTCAGCATCAGTGACCACAACGGGAACCCCTCAGCACCCCCCAGCAAGCGCCAGTGCCGCTCACTGTCCTTCTCTGATGAGATGTCCAGCTGCCGGACATCATGGAGGCCCTTGGGCTCCAAAGTCTGGACTCCTGTGGAGAAGAGACGCTGCTACAGCGGGGGCAGTGTCCAGCGCTACTCCAACGGCGTCGGCACCATGCAGAGGAGCTCCAGCTTCAGCCTCCCCTCCCGGGCCAGCGTGCTCTCCTCGCCCTGTGACCAGGCAGCATTCCACCACCGATTTGGAGGGCAGCTCTGCCAAGGGGTGCCAGGCTCAGCCCCCTGTGGGCAGGTGGGCGACACTTGGAGCCCCGACCCACACCCTGTGGGAGGGGGCCGGCTGGACCTGCAGCGGTCCCTTTCCTGCTCGCACGACCAGTTTTCCTTTGCAGAGTACTGCCCACCCTCAGCCAACAGCACACCTGCCTCAACGCCAGAGCTGGCGAGACGCTCCAGCGGGCTTGCCCGAAGCCGCTCCCAGCCATGTGTCCTTAACGACAAGAAGGTTGGCGTTAAACGGCGGCGCCCTGAAGAAGTACAGGAGCAGAGGCCTTCCCTAGACCTTGCCAAGATGGCACAGGTAAGAGCCCCAGCAGCCTGCAGGGTGCTGCAGAATCCTTTTGGTGCTCCTTGGAGCCTCTGCTGGTCCTGGCCCATCCTGCCCGAGAACATAATGCTAGTTTCAGAATGCCCAGGAGTGGGTTAATTTCCTTGTTTTTTAAAAATCCTATTCAAAGAAAGATTATTTCAAGTTGATTTTTTTAAAAAAAGTATCTATTTCTCTCCATTTAAAATCAGACCTGCTCTTTCCCTGTGATGTGCAATGCTAGTGGTAAAAAGAGCAGCAGGATGGTGAGAGGCAGGGCGCTGGTGGGCAGACCAGCGGGGCCCAGCACTGGTCGTCGCCTCTGGCCTTTGCTAGAGCCTTCTCACAGGAAGCCCTCCTTGCAGCCACTGTGAGAAACACTCGCACACGCTGGGATTCAGTGTCCCTTGGATAATGCTGATCCTGAGATCAGGGCTGTGGGTAATGGTTTTAGAGAGCAAGAGATGGTGCTCCTTGTTTTGATTAAACTGTTGAAATGTTAGACCACGAAGAAATAGCGATCAGTATCCTCTGTGCCTCCTTTGTAATCATCCTGGCTTTTCGCTGTAGGAGAAGCCTCTGGCCACACACCGCCTGTCACTTGGACTTTATTCTCTTTGTCTTAGAGCCCTGCCTTATGCCAACAGTGATCTTGGGTACTGATTTGAATGAGATGAACTTAGAGTTGATATATTGTCGTCAGCACAATCTCTGAGCCGGAGGGTTGGCTGCATTTTGTTCTTACTGGAGATAAGAACGTGATAGGCCCAGAGAGTAGGGTTAGCCCTTGTGACCTTTGACTAGGGCCAGGTGGTTGTGACAGGATGCAGCACTGTTGGTTCTGTGTCCATCCCAGGAGGCTTCAGTTGCTTACTGCCATGGTGTGGACAATCATCTTTCCTGGTCTTGTGTGTATAACCGTTGATCCTTGCTGGGTTTGAGAGGATGAAGATCTGTTTGTTGGTGAGGACAGTCTCAGAGGGGCTGGTCTTGCTCTTGCAGCACCATGGCTAGATCCAGGGTGGGCAGGCTGCTCGTGTCCACTCCATTTTGAGCAGGCATAGCTGTCTTCCTTTAATGCCTGATGTTTTCTCAGTTGGGCTGCCTTTCATTTTAGAAAAAAAAATGCAATTTCTATTTATGGAGTTTTTCTTCTCTCCACTTCAGTTCCCGCTTCCAGCCTAGAGGCCCCCAACAGAAGAAGAGGTGCAGGTCTCTCAAGTCTAGAGCACACCTGGCCCCAGAGTCCAGACTTTCTGGCCACCTTTGTTCCAGAGCCCTGGCCCTGGCTAGGGCGGTACGATGGTGTGCTCACACCTCCCTGTGCCAGTGGGTCCACTTGAAGGGAGCCTGAAGGAGCGTGGGGAGAGCTCCTGCTCGTCCTGGTCCAGTTTCCGTGTCTTCCATCGTGGCTCCCGGTGTGTCCCTTCCTGCATAGTAGACAGTTTTGACCTTCCTGGCTGGACAATAATTGCACACAGTCACTGGGCTCCAGGAGAAGTTTTCCTTCTCCAGAGAAATTTAAATAAGTAAAAAGGCTGGAAAGGTGACAGATTTGGGTGACTTTTGAAGGCAACCCAGAGCCCTGAGTTCTGGGTGCAATAATGGCTTCAGTTAAATTTTTAATGCTGAGCTTATTTTATTAGCTAATAAGCTAGATAGGTAATAAAAAAACAACTTACCCATGTTATTATATTTTACTAGCCACAGTTGGAATAACACCACTGCTATCACTGGAAACATTTCCTGGCCTCACTTGGGTGGAAACTATTTAAAAATATATTGTTCAGTGGGGCTGTGCCCAGATGTATGGATTGTTTCATTGGCTCCAGGCAGGCCTCCAAGATCTGGGAATGTGCACTGGAGCCTGAGGAGGCTGCCCTGGTTCAGCCTGTCTGTCCTTGGCCGCCTGCTCAGCAGCAAGTCCTGGGTTGGACAGAGCACAGGAGAGTAGAGAGGGGCCCCTGGGAAGTGTGTGTGCCCAAAGTCCTGCAGCCAGAGCTCTGGGGATGTGCCTACAGACCCTGAGCCACCCCCGCCAGCCTCTCCCATGGGGTTCTGTAGTTGTGCCTGCTTGGCTCCCCTACTGGATGACTTATGGCCTCAGGAGATGGGCCTTGCTCTTCTACGGGCAGTGAAAACTAGGCCTGAGGGAGTCTCTGTACAGTTGTTAAGAGTCCCAAGCTCAGCCTGGACAATGCAGGGCCCTGTGCCTGGGTACCCAGTAAGCTGGGCATGTCACTGGTGTATAGGGACCTGCACGTTGCCAGATGGTGACTGATGTGGGACCAACTGCCCATGGTCTCTGTGCACTGTGGCTTCACTCAACATCTGTGACTCCCAGGAAGTGGGCAGGGTCTGCTCTGCATGCCCATGGAAGAAAGGCTTATAGTTGGGCTTTCCATATCCCTGGAAGGGTAGGCTTGTTCTAAGGATTGGCCCATGCTTCCTTAAGCTGGCTTCTGGACTCTCTTTCATGGGTCTTTTGATCTTGGTTTATACATTTGCTTTTGGGGGAGGGAGCTCTACTTGAGCATTCTTTATGCCCAAGTAAAGGAGTCTCTTTGTGCATGGGTTCTGGGACCAGGTGCATGAGAACCTTGGATTAAAGATTCAAAGCGCAAAGTGCCTTTTCGGTTAGACCTTTGGAGCAGGTGGGCCGAAAAACCTTGGCTCCCCTGGAGGTGCTGCCTGGGGCTGGGACCTTCAGGGCCCAGAGCATATCTTGAGGGTGTGTGTAAGCACACAGGGGCTTCCCTCTGGCCATCAGTCGGGGTGACCAGATGGACTATGGTAGACAGCCCCTCCAACCTGCCAGCAGAAACAGGACCAGGGAGAGAACCCAAGAGTCAGACCAACATGGGGGTCGGGCAGGAGGCTCTGAGGTCTAAGGCCCTGCCTTTGTCTGCAGTTGGGTTCAGCAGGAGCAAGTGCCCGCAGGTGTAGACTCTGCTAGAAGCAGAGGATGTCAGAAGGACATGTTACCTTAGGGCTTGTCCGTTCCAGCCTGTCCTAAGGAAACTGAGGCCCTGCTAGCCTCTGGGCACCAGGGCTCTTCTGGACATGGTGTTTAGTTTTGGATCCACATTTAGGAGGGGATGTTGACAAACCAGAAGGCCTCCGGAGGAGGGGCTGATGGTCCTGGGCAAATTGCTTAACATCTCTGTGCAGCAAATACTGCCATAACCACCACTGTAGGACTATGGGAAGAATAAGGGAAATAACATATGTATAATGTGTTTGTGTGTGCGTGTATGCATGTGTGTATCTATCTATAAGGGTGTGTATCTATATATGTATTATCATGTATCTGTCTATCAGTATACATATGTGTGTCTCTGTGTCTATCTGTTAATATGTGAATACATGCACACACCACCCAGCGCACTGGCTGGCACGGTGAGTGCTGACAAATGCTCCTTATCACCATCACAATTGCAGGGCTTGGAGGGAAGGTGTGGGCTTGTTCTGGGTGACTTCGGAGGGTGGATGTTCCTGGGAGGCACGCTCAGTCCTCTATGAGAACTCCCCTTTTTCTTTATTTGCCCGCCTTCCCCCATTTGTTTCTATGCTCCCTTTTCTGTCCTTGCCATTTACTTCTTGCTTGTTCATCTTCTTGCCCCATTGTTTTTCTTTTATAAATGGGAAGGAGGCCTGCCCTGCTCAGCCTGCAGGGAACTCTGTGTTCTGAGGCGAGGGTTATGAAATGGTGACAAAATTG